GATTTGGGTTTTGAGGGGGTGGACTAAGGAGGAGGGGGAATGGGTTGCAGGAGAGAGGGATAGACAGAGAGGAAGAGCTGAGAGAGAGAGGAATTTGGATTTGGATTTTTTATTTTTAAGTTTATTTATTTATTTTATTATTATTATTATTATTTTTCAGTTTTTTTAGTTTTTCTTTTCAGTTTTACAAACTGTATATTATTTATTTAACCCGAAAGGACTCTTTTACCCCTCATTTTAACGGATAAATTGACAGAATTGGACGGTAGGACCCAATTGCAACTAATTGTCTAATTAAAGGATGTAATTGGCACAAAAATTAGTTCGCGGACCCAATTGCAACTGGGGCCATAGTTCACGGACGTCTACAGTAATTAACCCTTTAATTTAAAAGCATGCTAAGTCAATTCTTAACAATGAGAAAAATATAATTGAACTCATGAAAAGATAGTAGCACTTAACATCAATCAAAATAAAGGGATATGAAAATATTGAACAACCAAAAATAAAAGAATTTAGCAATTCATACCGTATATTGGATTAAAGAACAATTCACAAACTTACTCAAAAGACATTCCCTTTAGCCTTAGCTAGAGTTCTAGCAACTCATTACAAAGGAAAACATAACTAAATTTTGAATGAAATGGATAACGAAATCTGTCGTAGAGGTTCCCTTGCCAAATAAGTTGATGGGTGATTTATAGTAGTCAATGAGGTGATTGGGAAGTTAATACATTCGTGATGGGTAATGAAGGGTTTAAGTGAGGGATTAATTGGATTAAACATGTGATGATGGTGGACAGTTGGTGGAAAATAAATAACGGTAAGGTAGTGGGCGTTAAATGGCTATGAATGACATGAAATAGGCTCTTAAACTTCAACAGTTTTGTCTTCTCTTCTCCTTCTTTATAATCACAATAATCTCACAATCAATTCTTCAATAAAATCCACCAACAATTCTCTTCACGCCTGGCTTGAACTTAGACAAATGCATGTCTTCATCTTTTGGCTTTCCAACTTCCTACAAAAGATAAATTCACCTAATAAGTTCACCAAATTAATATAGAAAATTCATAAGTCCAGTTGGTGAGAATAAAATGTAACAACAAGTGAAATTATATTTATTAAGCCAAAATTATATCATAAAGTCTCCAAAATAATATTAAAAAATAAATTTTTTATTTTATTTATTTTTGTAAAGACGTTGTGTGACGAAACACACTTTGTCACTCAAGACTTTGTGCAATGAAGTTTATGTTTCGTCGCGCAAAGTCATGCAAAGATTTTAAAAAATAATTTTTTAATTTTATTTATTTTTGTAAAGACTTTGAGTGACGAAACACACTTCGTCGCTCAAGATTTTATGCAACGAATTTTATGTTTTGTCGTGCAAAGTCATGCAAAGATTTTAAAAAATAATTTTTTAATTTTATTTAATTTCGTATTGACTTTGTGCGACGAAACACACTTCGTCGCTCAAGACTTTGTGCAACGAAGTTTAGTGTTTCGTCGCGCAAAGTCACTTTGAGCAACAATGTTTTGTTGTCGTGCAGAAGTTTAGTGTTTTGTCGCGCAAAGTCACTTTGAGCGACGATGTTTTGTAGTCACGCAAAGTAACTTTGTGCGACGATGTGTGTTTCGTTGCGCAAAATTTAGTCTCGTAAGACTTTGAGCGACAAAGTTTGGAGTTTCGTCGCGCAAGGGTTATTTTTTACTAGTGAAAGAACAAAGATATTGTACTTCAAAATCTTGTGCAAAATTATAATCCCCATTTACCAAACAAATTTGCAAAGGATCAGAAGAAAAAGAAGACTTAAAGCAATTTTGAACAATTGTCTCGATCATGTAAACTTCTTTGTCATTTTCATTGTTTGCAGGCTGCTTGCGTATGTTGAGTTCCATTGTCATGTTCCCAAATGATAGTTGCATAAGTCCATTCCTGCAATTTATAGGAGCATTAGATGTAGCAAGAAAAGTTCTTCCAATAATAATAGGAATTTGAGAACTGGAATGCCCAACTGGTTTAGTATCCAAAACTATAAAATCAATTGGAAAATAAAATTTGTCTACCTGAATCAGCATATCTTCCACAATACCTCTTCGGATTTTGACTGAACGGTCAACTAATTGCAATGTGACTGAGGTGGGTTTTAATTCACCAAGACCCAATTGCTTATAAACTGGGTAAGGCAACAAATTAACACTAGCACCCAAATCTAATAAAGCTTGCTCAATGCTAAATTCTCAATAATACATGAAATTGTGTGACAACCTGGATCTTTGTACTTGGGTGGAGTATTAGTTTGAAAAATTGCACTTATATTTTCAGTTAAAAATGCGGTCTTATCAACATTGTGCTTTCTTTTGATAGTGCATAAATCCTTTAAATTTTTTGAGTATGACAAAATTTGTTTTATAGCATTCAAAAGAGGTATATTAATTTTCACTTGTTTAAAAACCTCCAAAATTTTAGGATTTTGATTTTTCTTTACACCCTTAGGCCCCGTTTGGTTCATGGGAAAGGAATCTTGGGGATGGGAAATCAATTGCTTTCCCATGTTTGGTAAGTTAGGCATGGGAAATCGTTGCCTGGCACATGGGAAAGTAGGAGGGAAAGTGAAGCCATCCTTCCAATTTGGGTTTTACTTTCCCTTCTCATGGGAAAGTAAGGCCAGCATTAAATGCACTTTTTTCTGACTAATTTATCCTTACTAATAATTTATAATTACAGTTTTATCCAACAACTATTGGTATTCTTTTTTGTTTTTTTAATTCATATTTCTTAAAATCCTCCCAGCAACGTTCTATTTCCCCATATATTTCTCATAACTCTGTTTACAAAAGGCAAAACTTCAACCTCACCCAGGTTTTCACATTCTCATCCTTAGAGCAACTTCAAACAAGGTGAGTACTATACTTCTATTCATCACCCAATATTTTCCATGTTTATTTTTCTTCTTCCTTTTTTTCCCTACATGAGCACCCAAATTTTCATTATATGAATTGACTTGAGCTTTGGGTGTAATAGTTGGATTATTTGATGTCTTTCTACTTTTTATTTTTATTTTTCTGGGTTTAACATGTATTTTGTTATAATACACCGTCTGAAATTTTGATTGAGGTAAGACTAGAGGTTGATAGAGGTTTTTTTTATTTGGTGTCTGTGGGGTGGTGGATTATGATGCCAATTACCCAAATCACACTAATAAACTTTGCTTAATTATGGATTGATGTTTTTACGTTTTTTTTTTTTCTAGGTTTCTTATTGATTGATGGTATTCTTTTCTTGCTATAATTGATTATGTTATTAATTGGTTATGTTATTAATGATATATTATGTAGTTATGGTGCATATAACATTGTCAAAGAGAAAAATGACTCTTCTAATGTTGGACTCTATTAGGTGTTTGTCTAATATTATGATCATATTTTACATTGTAATGTATATCATTATGGAAAGGCATTATAGAAAGTACCTCTTGAGATCAAGACCTAGAAATAATGATTTTCAGAGAATTGGAAATATGAATCACATGATATATGAGAATGATAGAAGATGTGTACACGAACTCCGCATGGATTTACATACATTCTCCAAGTTATGCTCTATGCTAAGAGCCACTGGTAGACTCTGTTTGTGCCTAATAAATCTCGGCCGATGAAGCTGACCGAAGGAACTTCCTCTTGGCCCTAGCGCTTACCCACGGCCGAACGTGGCAAGTCGTTGTTCGCTTTCTTTCGTTAAAGACAAAGGTGAGCTGTGAAGGCAAAGCCAGCATGGCCTCGGTGAGCTCGGCCGAGGACGAAGAGAGTGATAACTCCTCAGATGCACGGTCAAGATAGGAAAGTCAAGTGGCATCAAGGTCCCTCGCTTCATTTAATGAAA